AAATGTGTCAACATTTGGAACATTTGCATAGCTCAGTGAATCAATATTTTCCACATGACCGATGTATGATGTTACAAAATTATTTCTGGGTAAAACCACCCAAGTGCAATACAGACCAATGGACTTTAAAGTAAAAAAGGCTATTGATATGGTTTCAGGTTCCACATGGCACCTAACCTTTGAAAAACTACCATTTGTCAAGTGTTCGTGTTATAGCAGGAATATCCACAATTACCTGAAAAGGCTATCTATACACCACTCTCTTTCCCACTATGTTTCTGAGTGAGACTAGATTTTCTTCATATATAGTACTTCAAACAAACCAAAGTAGAGCAACAGACAGACAGCTGTCCTCTATTAAGCCAGAGACTGAGGAGATTTGCAAAAATGTAAAATAACGGCCATCCTCACTAATGTGGGGAGGTGAGTATAGTTATTTTTCATGAAAAACATGGTTTATTTCTATGAAGTACTATTTAAAATTCTTCTCAGCTCCCATTTGAATATGGTAAATATTGATAGATGTAACCTACTTCAACGAAGGCTTTTTGGATCTTCAAATGCCACTCAATGTCTAAGAGTGTAAGGGGTTCTAAGACCAATCCACATAGTATTGGTATTTCGGGGTATCTGGGACCCAGTGCATACGAAATTCACCTGGCAAATGTTTACCCAGTGCCAACTCTATGCCGGATGCTCCGCTAGGCATGGGGGATTCAGAATTGGAGGACTCGCAGACCAGGGGAGGAGGCCAACAGGTAAGAGAAGAGTTATAAAAGGGAGCCGGCACCGGGAGCATATAGCCATAGGGAGGGGGTGAAAGAGCAAGTAGCCAGGGATGCTTCCCAGAGGAGCAGACACTCCACCTGAGCCTGTAAGGCCAGCTAAGGGGGAGCATGCTAGGGAGGGGGAACAGAATGCCTAGAAGGTAGAGGCTTTAAGAAAATATGGCTATTTCCAGCGCCTACAGTAAGTAGCTCAGTATGAAAGCAGCATCAAGTGCAGGTCTGTGTACTGGAGGTGAGTTGGAGGTGGACAGGGGCCGAGCGATGCCTTTCCTGAGTCCGGGAAAGCGGGGAGACGGAGGGCGTTCACAGCGAGAGGTCGGCTGGTTCCGTGAGCAGCAGCAGCCACCCAGACCGAGATACATTGACGTTCCCCTCCTCCGCCCCCCCCCAACGGACAGGAGGTGCCGGCTGGCGTTTTTCTCTGGTTGTCAACTCTCTGACGCTGGGATTTTTCTGTACTGACTCCACAGGGAGAGGACGCGATGCTTCGTGGATGCTGTGCGCTCTGACCACCCCGCCCCTGTGCACCTCTGGCCGTGGCTGATCTTAATCTATACCCTTTCCCTGTAATAAGACATAACCGTGGACAGCCTCAGTGCATCCTGGGAAGCCCCTAGCCCGCAGCTGGAGTCAGAAGCGAGGGACACTGTCGCTCGGAGAGTGTGCCCTCGGACCTGGCAGAGTGGCCTAGACTCCGTGCAGAATTGTCAGCAGAGCCTGGCGGTTCTGATAGGCAGCCGTGTCTGGGAACCCCCCCGACCTAAGGCTGTACCCCATCCGGCAGAGGGGTCACCTGCTTTGCTCGAGGTCAGCTGCAAGGAAGGCGTTGGCTCTGGT